TCCCGGGGGCTCCCCGCACGCTTTTAGGATCAGAGGAGGGGACTATAAATTGAGCATTGCCTTTTAGTTCCGGGACAAGAAGTGCACCAAAACTTCCTGAGTCACCAACCGCCGCCACCTGCCGGAAGCCACCGCCTGGGCGTCCTCCTCCTGCTAAACAGCTGCGTCTCCCGTGAGCCCGCGGGAGCTCGAGGACTACGACTCCCGGCATGCTCCGAGGCCTCTGGAGTTAACCCTTAGGGGCCCGCAGCCTCCTCCCAGCGCCCCGCCTCCGCCCTTACCTGGACCCCGCAGGGTGAGTTTTGGGGAGCTGGGGAGGGACTCTTTCCTTTTTTTAAGCTTGATTTAAGGTGTGCGTGCGTGCGTGCGTGTGCGTGGGTGTGTGCGTGGGTGTGTGATGTATTCTGAGAGGGTGGAATGATTCTGATTTTTCTAAAATGGGACAATGTTCAGTAATAAGATTCAGACGCATTTTTGCAAGTGGAAGACAGATCATCCACTCTGAACCCCAGGGTCTAAGGGGAATCACTACTATCTTCCTCAGAATGCTGCCTAAATCCTTCCCTTCCTTTTCCCTAGAACAAAAGTAGCCAGCAACCTCCCCCCTCTCCCAACCACCTCAGACTTAGACCCAACCCTGGTGCCCCCCCCTGCAAGGTTTGGGACTTGGGGCCAGTGTCAGAGTTTTTATTATTCTCTGGTTGAGGGGTAAGTACCCGTGGAGCCCATTGGACCTCCCACATCCTTTTGGATTAGAGATTTTAGGATTTAGGCCCTTTGCCTCTCAGGGCCTCCTGCCCCTCCCCTCAGGTGCCACCACAGAGTGAGTCCCTGCAAATTCAGCTGCATATTCAGCAGGCACCCTACCTTTGTCTGACCTGAATGACCATGGGCTTGTGGAAAACGGTTCCTTCCTTGGGAGTATGGGTGGTGGGCAGTAAATCTGATCCTTGCCCCCACCCTTACCCTTAATACAATACTGGGAACAGGAGACAATGGGGGTGTCACACTCCTCTTTCTGTTACTATTCTTTATCTATATTGTGCACAATTCCAGTTCTGGGCTGGGAGGGAAGGCAGCAGGGACTGTAAATTCGGGGGATTATTAGTCTATGGGGTCAACTACCCCTGTTCCTCAACCGTGGTCAGAGGGGAGTGGAGGAGCTGCTTGTTCTTTTCACCTTTCACTGCTCCCAGACCCCACTTTTTTTTTTTTTTAAGATTTTATTTTTAAGTAGTCTGCACACGCAATGTGGGGCCTGAACCTACAACTCTGATAGGAGTCATATGTTCTACTGACTGAGCTAAGCAGGTGCCCCTCCCAGACTCTATTTTAACAATCCCTTAGGGGCGCCTGGGTGGCTCAGTGGGTTAAAGCCTCTGCCTTCGGCTCAGGTCATGATCCCAGGGTCCCGCATCAGGTTCTCTGCTTGGCAGGGAGCCTGCTTTCCTCTTTCTCTGCCTGCCTCTCTGCCTACCTGTGATCTCTGTCTGTCAGATAAATAAATAAAATAAAATGAATTTTTTTTTAAATAATAAAAAAAACAATCCCAGTTCACAAGGCCCCGCTCCCTGCCTCAGCCTTCAAGAATCTAAAGCTGCTAGAAAAAAGGTCTACTCTGTGTCAGGGGGTTGAGGCCTGGAATGCCTGCATCCCCTTCTTTGCTTCACCCCTATGTCAGTGTCTGTCACTGGCAAACATCCTATCCTTACCCTGGAGGTTAACTCCCTCATTCTGGGCCATCTCTGGCTTCCTTCCCCTGCCCCCAAAGGGGCCATTGTTCTGGCCAGCATTTGGGGCCAAGTGAACAGAAGCGAGAAGACCTTGGGACAGGAGTCCTGAACCATAGGAGTCCAGGGCAGGCCAGCATATCTCTCCTCTATCTCACCCTCCCCACCGCCAACTGGCTCCCTGCCCCTGCCCCCGCCCCTTGACATCCCAGACTCCCTGGCTATTTAAACAGAGATGGGTGCCCCCATCGGCACACTGTCCTTTGGCCACCGGACATCATGCCTCCCAAGAAGGATTTTCCTATGAAGAAACCGGCAGGACCCTCTATTGCCAAACCTGCTGCCAAACCCGCAGTTGGGGCCCCTCCAGCCAAGACCAAGGCTGAGCCAGCTCCAGCTGCCCCTCCAGCCCCTCAGAAAACCCAGGAGCCCCCCATCGACCTCTCCAAAGTGGTGGTGAGTTCCGGGAAAGTGAAGAAAGAATTTGGAAGGGATGATACAGGGTGGGAAACAGCCTAGGAGATGAGGGGGTATCTAGAAAACAGGGAATCAGTGAGAACCAGCAGATATTAGAGATTCCTCTTAGTCCCCCCCTGCCCCCTGCCATTTCAAAGCATCCAGGCTTATGACTCTGCTGTTCTTTTTTGTTCTCTCCCTCTAACCTATAACATGTGTGTGGGTATGTACACACATTCTCACTGACCCCCCTGCCAGAGGCAGGGACCCGTGAGATGGGGAACATCTGGGTTCTGAGGACGGTTTCAAGGTGAAGAGAGGGAGCTTGTGCCTGTGCCTGGCTGACTGTTCAATTCTAAAAGCCACAGCTCCGAACCCCAGGAGGGAAGGCTGAAGAGGACAGACTTGTTAGACAATCACAGCTGGGGGCCAGGGGTAAATTTAGCCTTTGTTCAGCCCCCAGTTATGTGAGGGATGCAGAGCTCAGGGCACTGGAGGGAGGGAAACAGGTGGCATGGGATTAACCCTGTTCCCAGGAAACCCTCCCCCCCATAATTCCTCCTCTTGGGATTCTCCCAAGGTCCAGAGCTGGGAATGGGACTGAGGTGGCTGGGCTCCCAGCCTGGTCTCGTTGGGCCCCTCCCCAAAAGTGGCTGCCAGTTGGTTGGGAGGAGTGCTGGAGAGAGATTGAATGAGCCCTGTCATCCCTCCTCACCTGCTCTTTTCTTCCACAGATCGAGTTTAACAAGGACCAGCTGGAGGGTGAGGAGAATCTGGTCCCTTAAGCTCCACTGTCTAGTCCCAAGCCCCCGGTCAGATCCTCTTTCTCTTCCCCTGACTCCGGTCCCAACCTTGAAAACTTCCACACTAGTGGTTTTGGGGTTCCCTATTCTGCCCAGCTCTACCACATAGTTTTTGAATCTCCTTTCTGTCGGGGGGGGGTGGCGATGGGAACCCCTGGTCCCAATACTGACCTTTGCTTATACTTCAGAGTTCAAGGAGGCTTTTGAGCTGTTTGACCGAGTAGGGGATGGCAAGATCCTGTACAGTCAGTGTGGGGATGTGATGAGGGCCCTGGGCCAGAACCCCACCAACGCCGAGGTGCTCAAGGTCCTGGGGAACCCCAAGAGTGATGGTGAGGGGGTTGCCTGGAACAATGCGGGTTTTCAGTGTGGTGGTGGAACCGAGGAATGTTGGCAAGGTGACAGAGGATGCTGGGGTGGGTTTCAGGACTTCAAAAACTATCAAACACGGCTAGAAAAACAAACTGAATGTTGAACAGGATGAAGGCCTATGTGGTAGGGATGGGAGCTGGGTCCAAGGTGACACTGCACTGACCTCTCCCTCCTCTTTCCAACCACTAGAGCTGAAGTCCCGGCGTGTGGACTTCGAGACTTTCCTGCCCATGCTCCAGGCCGTAGCCAAAAACCGGGACCAAGGCACATATGAGGACTACCTGGAAGGGCTTCGGGTGTTTGACAAAGAGGGGAATGGCAAAGTCATGGGAGCAGAGCTCAGACATGTCCTTACCACCCTGGGTGAGGCAGGGACCAGAACTCCTGTGGGTTGGAGAGGAGGGGGTGGACCAAGAAGATTAGCCAAGTAGGCAGAGCCAGGAAGGATTATCGGCCTATAGGTCATGGGCAGGAGACTGAGAAGGTCAGAGCCATGGGGCAGAATCCGAAGGGCTTCTTCCTGCAGGAGGTAAAGTGAGGGTAGATGCAGATGCCTCCCAAAGGACAGAGGAAAGAGGATGAGGTGGAAAACCTGATTTTCTGTTGTGGAAGAGATGCTTGTGCTCTGTGATCTGGTAGCCCCTTAACCCTCTTGGAATTCACTTTCCCTCTGTGAAAGCTTTCACCAGGTGCTAGTGCAGGTGAAATGGAAAACAAGATCCAGGGACAGCTTCTAGCTGTTACCATTATAAGGAGGGGATTCCTTTGGGGTTCTGTTGCCATGAGCAAGTTTCCAAGGGTGGGAGAAGAGAAGGTACCACCTAGAAGAGAGAGGCCTGGTTGGTGAGGGAGGGAGGGCAGGGACTAAAATGCTATGTCTGGGGCTCAGGAGAGAAGATGACTGAAGAGGAGGTGGAGACTGTTCTGGCAGGACATGAGGACAGCAATGGCTGCATCAACTATGAAGGTGAGGGGCCAGCAGAGCAGAAGGGACAGGGAAGGAGGGGAGGCAGAAGGCTCGCGGTCTGTGGGTGGGGACACCCGAGACCTAGATTGTTAAAATCAGATGGATTATCCAAGGGCCTGCTTCTGAACCCCTCTTGCCTCCTCTCTGCAGCCTTCCTGAAGCACATCCTAAGCGTCTGAGCTCCTACAGGTAGGGCTCCTCCCGCCCCACTCCCCGAGAGGCGTTTCCTTTCCTTTCCTCAGCCAGGGCAGGAAAGCAGGGAAGTGCGTTTTCATGTCCTGCTGCGGGCGAGCGACCGGCCTTGGCAACTTTCATGTTTTTCCACAGATGCGGTGGGGGTCGGACACCGCCCCCCCACCCCCGCGCCTCTCCGGCAGGCGGAAGCACGTTCCTGCCACTAGGAGGCCACCTATTGTTTCCAAATAAAGAGACTATTCCTCACTAGGCGTCCGACTGTTGCTTTCTTCCGAGGTGGGGTAGGGAGGAAGGGAGGGGGCAGTGACCGATATCCAATTCGATATCCTCTGATCTTCCTGCTGCACCTAGTAGCGAGCTCTCTGCGCCCCGCTCGATCCGTTTCTGCGGTTTCCTCCTAGCCAGGTAGGGCTAAGCCGAGGGAAGCAGCGGCGGGCCCTGCCCACCTCATTACTAATATAGCGATGTTATCTGCATAAAGCCAGGCCAGGACTCCTATTGGCTGGATCAGCTGAGAGTGACGTCATTGGGACGTACTAAGACTAGGGTTGGGTGGGGAACCGGAGCCATTACTGCAGGGAAAGGTCCCGCGGAGCGGAGCCGTCAAGATGGTGGGGCCCGGGGCCTGGAACGATGAACGGGATTTGGGGCGAGACGCGGGAAGTCGGGGGTGGGGGTTTGCAAAGGGAAGCTGAGGGCCTAGAAGGTCGGGGTGGGGTTGGAAAGTTTGGGGGTCTTGTCCTGTCGGGAAACGAGTCCCCAGCTCGGAACAGGAGTTTGTGGTTCAGTTTGTGGGACTGGGATAGAAGCTTGGGGTTCAGATGCTGACTGCTCCCCTCTTCCCTGAGCAGTGTGATTTCACCGAGGACCAGACTGCAGGTAAGTAATCTCTGACCCCTACTGAGGTCATGTTTAGGGAGAGGGACCCCCGCCTCTAGCACCTACCTCCTAACCCCAACCTGTCATCTCTTCAGCGCCCCCAGGGAAGTACTTACCGGATTCCCTTCTCCCGCTTTCTGGAGCCTCCATTTTCTTTTCTCACTCTTTCTTCCTCCCTCCCCTTCCACTCTAGATCCGAGCCCCAAGCCCCGGGTGAGTTTTAGGTGGTGTGGGTATGTGAAACAACTTGGTCACCTAATGCCTGTTGTGTGTGGGGTGTGGGGAGGGTGTATTAAGTTGCCTGTGCTCCTCTGTCCCTTAATCAGCTTCTGCCTCTTTTTTCCTCCTGTGATAACACCCCGCCTGCCCCCCCCCCCAGCTTGGAACTGTGAAGATTGTAAAAAGCAGTGACCTGGAATCTTGTGAAAATGGGGACAGGGGGATTTGCTGAGGATATTTCATAGCTGTACCCTCTGAAGGTCTCTTTCTGTACAGAAGGGGTGGGAAGTATCAGGCTGGGATGACCCCAGTCCCAGGCTGCTGCTCCTACTTCCTTATAAGGACAGGCCCCAGACAGGGCGGTGGCAAATTCCTGCCCTTAGTAAGAGTAGTGAGGCAGTTGGGCAGGCTTGCTGTAGGCAGAGGGATCTGTGAATGACAGTTCTGCTCAGGGGGGAGGAAAGCTGTGTCATGTGGGACACCTGTGTTGGGAGGCAGGGACACTAGGCCCCTCTTAGTGGACTTAGGTGTACAGTGGTACAAATACCTGGTTTCCTCAGCATGATCGAAGTTGAATGGGCAGAAGGGGTTTGAGGGGGGGTTTGGGTTAACCCCCCATATGCTCAGTGCTGATGTATATCTGAATCTTCAGAGTTCAAGGAGGCCTTTCAGCTGTTTGACCGAACAGGGGATGGCAAGATCCTGTACAGCCAGTGTGGGGACGTGATGAGGGCCCTGGGCCAGAACCCCACCAACGCCGAGGTGCTCAAGGTCCTGGGGAACCCCAAGAGTGATGGTGAGGGTCCTTGTGGACAATTTCTCAGTGTGGTGATGGGCCTACAGCTCTTCAGCTGAGAGCTTCCCTTTATCTGCATAGGCCCAGAACTCAGGCGGGTTTATCTCAGCAAACCCAACAGATTTCTCCTGCTTTGAGTGGCAGCCACCTCCTCACTCGTGGTCCTGTTATGTCCTCAGTCCCAAGAACCTGTGTGACTTTCCTTCCGCCTCCTTTATGGCAGAGATGAATGTGAAGGTGCTGGACTTTGAACACTTCCTGCCCATGCTGCAGACTGTGGCCAAGAACAAGGACCAGGGCACCTATGAGGACTATGTTGAAGGCCTTCGGGTGTTTGACAAGGAGGGGAATGGCACCGTCATGGGTGCTGAAATCCGGCATGTTCTTGTCACCCTGGGTAAGGCTCTACCCTGGCTCCTAGAGTGGCAGTACCACCTGATTCATGCCTGCCACCCAGTTCCCAAAATGCATTTTTTTCTCTCTCTACAGGCGAGAAGATGACCGAGGAAGAAGTAGAGATGCTGGTGGCAGGGCACGAGGACAGCAACGGTTGTATCAACTATGAAGGTGAGGGATGAATTGGGGCTCTCGTGGACGAAGTTGTCTAGGCAGGTCACCCCCAGCGTTTGGGGCTCTCCCTGTCCCTGGGCTACAAAAAGAACCTGGAGGCAAGGGGCAGGGCCCAGCCCAGCCCAGGAGTGGGAGGCCATGGGAACATGACAGGAAAGGAAGGGGTAATGTGTAAAGGGGGTTGGGAGGCGGGAAGGAATGGGAAGTCAAAGGGAATGTCTGTTCCTCCATCACCTGACCCCTCCACCCCACGTCTGTGTCTTGTCTTCACCATGAATGTCTCTTCCTTCCTGCAGCGTTTGTGAGGCATATCCTGTCGGGGTGACGGGCCCATGGGGCGGGTACGGCTCCTCCCAGCCTCCCCTTCTCTAGTTGCCCCCTCCCCAGTGTTTTTCTGCCCAACCTCTGCTCTCTAGCCCCTGCCCTTCCCCTACTACCATCTGACTTCCTCCTAGCATGTTTCTGCATGGAGCTGACTGGGAAGGGGAGGGGTTCCTCAAAGAGGAAGACAGCCTGGGGGTGTGGTACCTCCTTTTCTCCTAGAATGGGCTCTGAGGTTTTGCTTATAGGGTCCAGGGTGCTGGTGTCTGGGAACTCACACCAGCCTGTTCTGGTCTTGCCTAGGGGTGAACCTCTGGCCCTGGGGCACAGGTGGTTGGCATAGGGGGGTAGGTTGCCTGCCCTGTTGTGCTGCTGGAGCTGACTAGTCTTTTCTTCTTCCTTCTGCTGGGCAGCTTGAAGGTACCCTAACCCAAACCTCTGTCCTCTCCTGCCAATGGCTGACAGTAGCTGTAGGTGTAGTTAAGAACTTTTCTGCCTCCTGCTGTGTTCTCGCTGCTCAGGGTGGGGTGGAGGGGCTAATAGCGGGTGCGGGGGGAGCTGGGGGCCGAGAGAACTGGGCAGATCAAGGTGGCTCCTCCGCAAAGCCAGGGTTGGTTTCTGCGGGCGCACTCCTAGGCTACCTTCGTGGTCCTGTAGTCTCCTGGCCCCTGGTGGACCCCTCCCCGCGGCCCTCCTCCCTGGCTCATCCCTCTCTCCAATCCACAGAGCTTGTCCGTATGGTGCTGAATGGCTGAGGATGTTCCTGGTGTGCCCAAGCCCCGTGCCTTCCCCCCGCGTGAGACTGCATGTAGCCCCGAACGCGTCCTAGGTCCTCTTGTCACAGCACCTCTGCCAGCTTGTCTCTTGGAGAATATTTGCTGTCAGCAGTCACCAAATAAACTTGCTCTGTGCCCTAAGTTCGGTTCTACTTTCCTTCCTTAGCAGGGTGAAGGGCAGGAGAGACCATCTAGGGTCCTAGGCCAGGGGTTGGGAAAGCCTGGGGAAGAAGGGCTTGTAGGATCCATCTTGGTGTCATTTAAGGACTGCTGGCTCCATTCATTGATGCCACAAAGGCTACCCCCTGGGGGATTAAGGAAGCCAGATATACCCTTAGGACCAAGGCTGACCATGCTCGTGCAGTCTCCCACCAGGAGGTCCTCCTAGCCCTCCAACTGGTTCAACCCAACCCTCACCCTCCCAAGCACTGGTGGCCTCTTGTGGGGAAAGCCCAGGGAGTGTCTGATGGAGCGAAAGCCAGGCCTGTGTTAGCACTGCCTACGCCTATCACTTCATTACACAAGCTTGTGAAATGCCTGCCTTCTTCCCGCCTTAATAAGGAAAGGAATGAAGCCCTTACTTCTGCAAGGATAAATACACAAAATCTCCAGGTTGTGGGGAAGTTCTTCCGAGTCTCAGCTATTTTTAGGGCAGGTGAGCACCTCTGCCCGGCTCCCACGCCCCAGGGCACAGTCCCCACGCTTATACTGCCTGCAGCCCACTGCAGAGAGAGGCCTAGTGGCTGTGTCCCAGTGGCTGGCCCAGTGCCTCTCCAGCCCAGGCGAATGCCCCTGGGAAGGACTCCGGAAGGCTGCCCCAGCCCAAATCCCCCTGCCTGATAGCCACAGGTCAGAGAACACAGAAGCATTCACAAGATGGAACTGAAAGCAAATTAATTTATAAAAAAAAAAAAAAAAGAAAGAAAGAAAAAAGAGAAAAGAAAAGAAAAAAAAAAGAAAATTTACAGAAAACCTTGAACAGAAGAAAGGTGCCAAGACGCAGAGGAAGAGAAACACGGGGAGGTGAGGAACAAAGGCCTGGTGGGAGGGACCAGGGAGAGCTGGTGGGAGGCCTGGCGTCCCGGCTGCCTTCACGTCAAGGATGAAGAAGGGAAAAGTGGTAGGGGAGGCAGTGGAATCCAGGGAGCAGAGCCAAGCTGCAAGCTGGGGGTAGGCACTACCCTGGGTCGGGCACCCCTCCTCCACTGTCCCCAAGTCCCAGGGAACCCCTAGCTACCAGTCAAGGTTCTGAGGATCTTGGTGGAAGAGGTTAGAGGGGTGACCCACCAAGTAATAAGAAGGAGGTGCTTAAGTGCTTTTTTAAAAACTCAGGTTTTTACAATTCCCCATCTTCTCTAGCTCCCTTCTCCATGTCTTCTAGGAGCCCAGGGACAGGGCCCAGGGAGGAGGAACAGTGCTCTTTTTTCCTCTATTACCTATCACAGGAATCCCCAAAATACGTTTCCCCACCAAATACACATACGCTGACATCAACTACGCAGGTGACTTTTAAAAACACAAAACTGACATTCAGGGGCAAAGGGGTCATCAGCTGAGCTGGGGTGGCCTAAAACAGCGACACTGAGGAGGCAGCAGGAGAGATCAGTAGGAACAGACTGGGGATGGGGTGGCCGAGGGAGTTTGGGAGTTGATTCGGTCACTAACAAGGGGCTGGAGGAGACAGACTCTGCACCCTATTCTATCCCCAGAGCTCTCCCAGAAACCTTAAATCCCCTTTCCTGTCACCTCCCTCCAAAAAAATGGAAATTTTTTTTTTTTTTTTTTTTTTTTTTAGTGGGTGGAGGGAGCTCCAATGTGGCTTTTTTATATCTCTCTACTTCCTTTAAAGGGCTTCGTTTGTTTTGTGTTTTTTTTCATCCATAAAAAATGCAGTAGTTTTGAGGGGTGCACCCTTAAAAGTGGTTAATCAGAACCTTGTATAAACACCTTTCCCCAGCCCTTTCTTTGAGGGCAGCATCCCCATCCTAATCTCTCTCCCAGACATTAGAAATATCTTTTAAACAGAAGTCCTTGAATAATCCGATATAAAAATGCACGCCTCTGCCAGGCATGGTGGGGGTTTTGGAGGGGCAGGAGGAGCTTTCCTTACGTAGTGATGAACTCTCCAGGCTGGGGAAGGGTCCCAGTGGTGGGGAGAGGGCTGTTCCTGGAAACTTGATCTCCATAGGGGGTGAGGGAGAGAGATGTCTGGCTGGCTCCTCACTGTGGAGGTGGCACAGGGGTGACTGTGCCTGGGCTCGGGGCCGTGGGATCTGGAGGCAGGGGGGTACCTGGGTCTGTGGAGAGAAGGAAGAGGAATCAGCCAGGTGGGCAGCAGAGGGGTCCAGACCCAGGCCACCAAAGACAAACAGGACCGGGCACGGCATGCAATGGGTGGGTAGGTGACTGAGGCAGCCTTTCCCCAGCGCTCTCTCCCACCTCACAGCGAGAAAACTGAAACACCCCAAATCTTCCTGCCCCCAAGGGAACTCTCACTACGGGGCGTTTGAACGTGATGGGAACAAGCAAGGGGGTGCCAGTCATCATGCAAACAGGTAGCTGTTTTTCAAGTTTACAACTGAGACGCTGTGCCTTAGGACTCCTCCGTGACCCACCAGTGAAAGGCCCCAACGTCATGTCATCCTAGATGTGGCGGCTGCCAGGGTGGGGAATGGCAGAGGACAGCCAGAGAGGCCCTTCCCCCTGTGTTCTAATTTACCAGAGCGAGCGTTCAAAAAGGATGGTGGAAGTTCTATTACCTAAGCCCTTCCCCTACCTGCCCCCCCTGCCCCGTCCCTCCATGTGGACCCCTCTCCCTCACCCTTCTCCCTCCAGGACCCTTCTCACCTGGCAGTGGGCTGGCACTGGGCAGGAGGTTGCCCTGAACAGCTGCCACAATGGCAGGGCTCTGGGCTGCGGCGGATCCGAGCCCCGGCCCGAGAGGCAAGGAAGATGGCATGGTGGTGGTCGCCGGCAGGTTAGGGTGTAGAGGGTTCGCCATGGACACAGGCAGGTTAGGTGGGGGGAGAGTGCCCGGGGCAAACGGGAGATGGTGGTGATGCCCATGCAGGTTAGGAGGAGGGGGCAGGTTAATACTGATGGAGTCGGCTAGACTACCAAATGGGATGACGGATGGAGCGGGAGGAGGAGGAGGAGGCGGCATGCCGAAAGGCAAACCCAAAGGAGCATTACCCGCCACGCCTGGGTGCCCGCTGCCTGGCACTGCCCCTGGCATCATTGCGGGAGGAGTTTGTTGGTTGGGGAACGGTGAGGGGCCTGGGAACAAAGAGAAGAGAAAGAAGCTGAGAGGCAGAAAATCTCCCTTCTTGACTCACTCGCACAGCCAGGATGCTCTAGCCACGCCCCAGCACCTGTTTGCCTGATGGACTCAGTGGTAAATCCTTGGAACTAAACCTCCAAGGCCTGGCCCTGGGGAGGGACCCCTGTTGGCTCAGGGATGTCACAGAGGTGAGCCCATCTGCAGAAGTCTCTAGTCCTGCCCTGTATCCCTTTCGAGGTGGGAGATAGGAATGTTCACCCAGAGGCCCCCCAACCCCACCCCCGGTCAGCAAGAGTTCCAGAAGCCATCACTTACCATGGGGTCCAGGGGGGGGGTACCCCTGGTGGGACTGCCCCAGGCTGGGGGGCTCCAGCTGGTTGCTGCTGCTGTGGCCCCGCGGCTGACCCTGCCTGCCCAATCTGTTCAGAGGGGCCCAAGCTTCCGGGGGGAGCCCCACCGCCAGCAGGAGCAGGGGCAACAGAGGCTGGAGCCATAGCCAAGCTGTGAACCACAGGTGGCCCAGTGCCTGCAGGTGGGACCGGCTGGGAGCCCGGGGGCAGGGCTGGCGGGGGCTGCTGCTGCTGTTGGTGCATTTGCTGGAAGTGCTGCTGCCGGGCCCTCATCTCTGCATACTTCAGCTGCTCCATATGGAAAGCTTGTCTGTCGGCCAGGAGCTGCTGCCTCTGATACTCCAGCTGCCGGGTCCAAGTGAGTACCGTTACCCATTACCCATGTGCACAAAACCCTGCCCCCTGCTCCGCCCTCCAACACACCCGGTCTCTCCTGGCCAGTACCAGCACCAAATGCAGATGCAGATCTCGTGCTTGGGCTTCCCGGGCCCTGCCCTGTCCTCCCCACAACCCCCAGCACCCGGTCTTCTGGCTGCCCGCATGACTTCTCACTGCAATGGAGTTCACCTAGTGGGAGCCCTTACTCATTCCAGCTCCAGAGCTCTGAATCTGTCGTTTGTTTCTTTTCTTTTTTAAAGATTATACTTATTTATTTGAGAGAGAAGAGCGCACAAGCAGAGGGAGCGGCAGGCAGAGGGAGAGGGAGAAGCAGGCTTCCCCCGGGGCAGGGAGCCCGATGAGGGGCTCAATCCCAGGACCCAGACATCATGACCTGAGCTGAAGGCAGATACTTAACCGACTGAGCCACCCAGGCGCCCCTCTGTCATTATTTCATTTGGAAAATGCCTCCGGTTCCTCTTGTCAACTCATGTTCTTTTCTTCCCTCAAAATTGCCTAAATACTCACCATTCTTAGGAAGCCATCACAGATCAACTTTTTAGCCTCTGAGCTTTGCCTTTATTTACTTATCTCTCAGGACTTTTAATCTGAATTTGTCAGATACCTTAAGCATTCACTGTTTTGGATGCCTCCTTACTGAATATTGGATGTCTCCAATTAAACCGCAGGTTCTGTTAGGATCCCTGTCTTGCATTTCTTTTTATATCATCTCAGAAACAAAATGGTTCAATACTTTGTCCCTCCCATCCCCTTACCAAGTTCATCTTCTGGATCTGAAGCCCCTTCCCTCTCATCATCTGTTAAACCTACTCGATGGCTCAACAAATACTTATTTACTGAAAGTCCACGGTACATCAAACACTGGTCAAGGACCTGGACATGAGGCAATGGAGAAACCAACTAGAATTTCTGCCCCAGGATGTCAACATTCCGTGGGACCTGAGGCTCCAGGTTTCACCAGTGGGCCACTTGTCCTCTACTGTCCAGGGCGAGCGCCTTCTCCTCAGCCATGAAGCCCTGTCACTCTCAGTCTCCTGCCACTGCTGCTCGCCCCCCTCCTAAACCCAGGCCCCGCTGGGTGTCAAGGTGTGGCCCTGGGCTCCACAGGCCCC